TTTGTATTGGAAGGGACCTTAAAGTCCACCTCATTCCATCCCTCTTGCCATGGGCAGGGACACCTTAGATCAGAGTGCTCCAAGGCCCTTCTAACCTGGCCTTGCACACTTCAGGGATCCAGGGGCAGCCACAGCTTCTCTGGGCACCCTGTGCCAGGGGCTGCCCACCTCACAGGGAGGAATTTCTTCCCAGTATCTGAATCATGCTCAGGCAGTGGGAAGCCATTCCTCTTTGTCCCATGACTCCATGGCCTTGTCCAAAGTCCCTGTCCAGCTCCCTTGGAGCCCCTTTAGGCACTGGAGAGGGCTCTATTCAAACCCTAGTACTCCTTGCTTCCCAGCATACCTGCCACTCCCTCTGTCAGGAATCAAGAGAGGTGATTTCTGTTTTTCCTGGGTGGAGAGGGCTCTGTGATGGGAAGGAGAGACAGTGTGAGCAGCCACTGTGACAGGGACAGGTGTGAAGGTTTGGGGTGAGTGGGCACAGTGGCAGAGCAGTGCAGGCAGCCCCAAAGAGCACCATCCTTCCTTCTGAGGTCAGCCAAAACAAAGAGAAAGGTGACCAACCCCTTTTTACTGCCATCTCTTATTAATGAGACATTTTATCCTAAGTCCTCCAACATGAAAGATGCAGGCTTTTGGGAACATAATTAATCTTTCTTGTATAAATCTTTAATTGTATGAAATGGAGTTTGTGTGGCTGTCGTCATTTCTCTTCCTCTCTTTTCCTCCTCTCCTGGTTTGAGATGTTTCCTTAGCACAGCTTCTTTTCTGCAGGCTGCTCTTCTTTAGGGCACTGACCCCGTGGAGCCACCACTCACAGTGTCCCTGGAGGCCACGCTGCTGCCCTGGGGTCTCTTGCTCTGCCCCAAGATGGGCAGGGAATCACTTTCCCTATGGCTCTTTTCCTTTGTGGAGTGACAGCAAACCCAGGAATTGTCCTGAAAGAAAACTAGCTGGTCTCCTCTGGAAAAAAGGGTATAGAATACTCTTGGGACAAACAACAAAAGAGCAGTTGTGCCCAAATCAGTGCCAGGCAGAGCCAAATGCCTCTTTGGAGGAGGTGAAGTGCAGCCTTTCAGATGCTAAGTAGTTATTTGGGATTTCAGTCAGTCCCTCTACGGAGGAATTGATGCACCATTGGCTCCAGGAGGATTAATGTGTTGGCTTTCCTTCTTGCCTTCTGTAAAGGGCAGGAAGGGCTGGGGGACTGTCTCAAGCCCACGCCTGCAGGGACAGATAGAAAATTGAATAGGAGACAGATGGAATGGACAGTTTGGAGATCTCCAAGGTGGGCAGAAGCCACTGCTCAGGTTCTCGGTGACTCACAGCTCTCGTGTTAAACAGAGCTTCCAAATTAGCATCTCCACCGAGAAGCTTTTCCTGAGGCACAGCTGATGTTCCCAGGTAGAGCAATTTCCTGCTGCTTAATGGAACGGGAGGAGCACTTTGCGCTTGGATGCGACGACGACGCTTTTCCAGCAGTAACTTCTTGTAAGGAATTCTGATGTCATTTTTCTTGGTCTGCCCGGTGGGTTGGATTAATGGGCAGGGACACACCCCCCGGGCTCCAGAGCTGGCTTGCTTTCCTTAATTTGCACTCAGGTCTTTGCAGAACAAAGACGGATTTGTTGAACAAAGCGGGGTCAGTGCTGGGATGAGGAGCCCTGTGCCTCCAGCCTGCTACTTTGAATTAGGACTGAGCTGTAGCTGTTAAGTCCTGCATCCTGTGGCCTGGATTGGTGCAAACCTGCTGGCCTCAAACCTCGCTGCTGCAGAGCCTGTGACCTCAAGAGCAGCCCGGGGGTGGTGCCTCCAGAGCAGCGGTGCCTCCCCACACTCCCTCAGTGACACAGGCAGCAAAACAGAGGAGGTTTGAGCAGCTGCTGCTATAGATAAAAAGAGTTCAAGTGCAGTCCTTAGTGGGAAAAATAACCTAAAGAACACTTTGATTTAAAGGCAAAACCAATCTGTGAGGAGAGGCTTTTGACAGGGCCAACTCCTGCGAGAGAGCCGAGGGCCAGCTGCAGGCTCCATCCCTCTGGTGCCCTTCAAGTGTTTTTTTTTCTTCTTCCTTTCAGCTCTTTGAGAACTTCCACTTCGGGGAGGTGCAGCTGGACTCGGTGCGTCTCTCCCAGAGGTTCTCCTCGGACGCCTCTGGCTACTACGCCACATCTGGGCAGCTGTGCTTCTCTTGAGGAGGCCATGGTGGGTCTGCTCTGTGCATGATCCCTCGGTGAAAGGTTTTATAGGACATGAATCTTCGATGGGAACCTGGGAACTCCAAGCTGGGATGCCTCATGACTCCTCCAAAGTATGGGAACCATGGCATTTCCCTGCAGCTTTTCCCACTGCCCTCTTCTTCGGGGTTGCCTTCCTCCTCCTTTCCCCAAAACATCACAAAGTTGCCTCTTTGATGTCTGTGGATTGCTGGTTTTCCAAGAAAACTACTAGAACTGGGGCTTTTGGGGCATCACTGGTGTTTAAATATGGGGCTTTTTTTAGAAGAGGGAAGTTTGTTCTTAAAATAAGTATTTAAAATCCAGGAGAGCTTCGCCGGAGCACGATTTAATGATATTGAGGTCAGGCATTGCTTGGATCTCCAGCAGTGTGCCTCTGTGATGTGGATCTCCAAATAAATTAATTCCCTTCAAAAGCAAAGTGTTTATCTCCTGTTGCATTGATAGTTTCTGTAATTAAACTTCCAGCACAGCACATAACTATGGTAATAAGAAAGCACTGACGGTTAGAGCTCTTTCCAGTGACCGTTTCGGAGCGTGTCAAAAAACATATGCCTTGTAGGTGGTTTCTCCATTAAAAGCAGCACCAAGCTCTTTGATTCCATTGTGAATCCTTCAGAGATCTCAAGACAAAGTTGTTTTTTTCCTGTAAATCTCCACATTTGGTAAAAATAGCAGCACAGGATTTCGACTTGCCCTAGGATGAACGCTTTGGAAAATGGAAGGTGCTGGTGCTTGGGTGTTTTGTAACAAAACAGGTGCTGCTGCCCATTCCTAGTTGCTTCCATGGATATGGAATCATGCTGTGGTAGAGGTGGAGAGTGTCTCAGCCAGGGATAGGGGTGCTCCAGCAGAACCCACGTGTCCTAGTGATCATTTCTAAGAGGTCTTCACCCCATTTCCTCCCTCCAGAGTGAGCTGGCTCTTTGGCTGTGCACAAACAGCAGTGGGAGTCATTCAGGAACTGGGATTGCTTTTCTTTTTCCCTCCAGATATATTGCTGTTTATGTTTCCCAGACCAAATTGCCTGTCTGCTTTCAAGCCTGCCTGTCAGGCAATCCAGTCATCTGTGCTTTTGCTGGGTGCCCTTGCTTGTACCCAGCCAGAGCCGTTGGGCTGTTTGTGTCCCTTTCCTTGGCGTCAGAACGCCTCTGTGCTCTCCAAAAGCCGCCTTCCAAACGGTTCCCTCGGGGAGCAGAGCACAGCACGCACTCACAGGGAGGTGCTGAGAGCACTTAACACCAGTTGCTGTCATCTTTCCGCCAGCCTGAAGAGGTACTTGGCAAATCTCTTTGGAACAGACCCGGGAGCTGCTCACGCAGCCACCAGGAAAGTGGAGGTGCACCTTGGGAAGCTTCTGCCTGATGAGTTTTTAACGACTCTCAATGAGAAGTTGAGGCAAACACGGGGTTTTGACAATTGGAGCATACTCCTCCCCTTCCCGCTTGTGTAAACATGTTTTAGTGACAATTCTTTGGGAAGTTGGTTGAATTTTGTTGGTAAGCAGCTTATCCCACTGCTCTAGCCTGGCGCAGCAAAATTCATTTCACACCTCCTTCCCCAGGCAGAATTAAGGATTCTGATCTTTTGCCTGACATCACTGGGGTTTGCTGGCAGTTTTCCTTCCCATCCTGAGCATCCTGGCAGGGAGAAGAGAAGCTGGATGTGTGCTGTGGCATCCCCAGCTGAAGCTGTGAAGGAGCTGCAGCTGGGGTGAGTTGTCACTTGTTGCCTACCCTGATTTCCCCCCGCTGAGATGAGGGGAAAATCCAAAAGCAAAACCTTGGGATAGGGGGAAATCTTCCCTGGGGCCCTGAAATGCTGTGGTAGGATGGCCAAGGAATGGGGACCACAGTGTGGGCATTGCAGGGAGAGGGGTTGGAGGATGGGAGATGGCAGGGACAGGGGGCTGTGGGATAGGGGTGGGAATGGGACTGGGAATGCAGGATGGGGTATGCAGGTTGGGGATGTGGAAGGAATGGGGGATGTGTGATGGATGCACGGTAAGAATGAGGGATGTGGGATGACTGGTGCTGGATGGGGATGTGGCAGGGGATGCAGGATGGGGGATGTGAGATGGGCACCTGGCAGGGGCCAGGGCTGCTGAATGAAGAATGTAGGATGGGGGATGCAAGATAGAGATGGGGCAGAGATGCAGGATGAGACCATGGCAGGGACCAAGGGATGCAGGACATTGGATGTGGGATGGGGACTGGGTAGGGGTCAAGGATGCACGATGGGGGATGCAGAATGGAGATGGGGTGGGGATGGGGGATGCAGGCTGGGGACTGGGTAAGGACCAGGGATGAGGGGTGCAGGATGGGGGCGTGTGGAATGGAGACGGGATAAGGACCAGGAATGCAGGATAGAGGATGGGGAAGGGGGTGTGTCAGGGGATGGAGGATGGGGACGCGCAGGGGACCAGTAGTGCAGGACGAGAACTTCAGGATGGGGGTGTGGCAAGAGATGCGGGGCGCACCATGAGGGACGCGGGACGGGGACAGGCCAAGGACGAGGGTGCAGGATGGGGACGGAAGGGGGGGGCCGGTGCTGCGGCCGTGCCGAGCCGTGCCGAGCCGTGCCGGCGGCTCCCCCGCCCCGGTGTCGGCGCGCAGGTGCGGCGGGCGCGGCGGAGGCCCCGCCCCGGCCCTCCCGCCGGTGCCGCCCGGTGCCGCCCCGCGGCCGCACTCGCCGGCGGCGCCTCCCCGTGCGCACCGCACCGCTCCGCACCGCGCCCGCTCCCCCCGGCGCTGCGGCAGCATGCGGGGCTGCGGCGGGCGCCGCGCCCTGCTGGCCCTGCTGGCCCTGCTCCTGCCCGCCGCCGCCGCCGGCCCCGGGCCCGCCGCCGGCCCCGCCACCGGCCCCGGGCCCGCCGCGGCGGGGGAGAGCCCCGGCAATTTCATGGAGGACGAGCAGTGGCTCTCGTCCATCTCCCAGTACGGCGGCAGGATCAAGCACTGGAACCGCTTCCGAGACGTGAGTCCGCGCCGGCAGCGGGGCGGGGGGGACGGGACGCGCTGCCGGGCACCGGGAGCCCCCTCCCCGCGCTCCCCGCCCGCCGCTGCGGCTGCCGCAGCGCGACCCTCCCCGGCCTCGGCCCCGCGGCGGGCGCCCGGCCGTGCTCGGCGGTGCCCGCATCCCGCCGCGGCCGTGGGCGGCTGCCGGCCCCGGTACCCGGGCGATGCTCCGCGGCCCCGGTACCCGGGCGATGCTCCGCGGCCCCGGTACCCGGGGGATGCTCACCGGCTCCGGCAGCGCCGCCGCCTCCCTGCCCGACGCCAAAGCTGCGTGGCCAGGGCTTGATGCCAAAGCGACCCTCTCCGGTGACCGGGGGTGCTGTCCCCCGCACCCTCTGCCCGTGCCCCACATGGGGGTGCAGGCGGGGCCCGCCCGCCCGTGGCGGGGCTGCGCCGTGGCCTGAAACCCTCGGTGGCAGCGCAGGGCACGAGCATCCCCCGGGACTGCGCTCCCCGAGCCCTCCGGGTGTCTCCGGAGCCCCGCGCGGTGCCGCAGCCGGGGCCGGCGCTCCCTCGGCGGGGTGGTGACCCCTGGGGATGTGGGGGACGCCAGACAGGGAGGATGAGGATGCAGGCAGTGCTGGAGGAGCGCTGGCACACCTGGCACACCGGGCTCGGGATCCTGTCACCCCTCGCTGTTCCACAGCCCTTGCGAGCAGCCTCGATGGCATTTAGCTGCAGCACTTAATATTATGAGGCAGTCGGGGTTTTTCCTGGGCTCGTATTACACCTGCTCGTGTTCTCCGGGGTGGGGGACACGGTGCTGCAGCCCCATCCTGGGGAGACCCAGGGCACCTGCAGCAGCCGGGCGGGGAGGGGGCACACCCCGAGCCAGCCCCTGTGGTCTTTGTTCAGATGCACACCCGGGTTCACCTTGGCAGCGAGGAGTGGATGGATGGATGGATGGATGGATGGATGGATGGATGGATGGATGGATGGCAGCAAGGGAGATGTGCCCACCGCAGGGACAGGGGGCACCACCCGCGAAATAAACCATTTGGGGGGGCAGAGCACGAGTGAGGGCGCCAAGGTGTAAATTCCTCCCCTGGAGACCCCTGCCCACAACACCCCCGCTGGCCAACGCCAGCACCGGGCACCTGGATGGCTGCGGTGCTCGAGGGGAGGGAGCCCTTGTGGACGTGCCCCCCTGGCACTGAGCATCCCGGGGGGTTCGGGGCCGAGGGGGGATGCCCGTCCCCAGCACACGTGGGGCCCACCCTGCCGTGGCTCGGCTGGCGGTTAGCTTGGATTAATAAGCAAATCCATGGATTTGTGGGGTTTTCCGCCGAGCAGCGCCGGTGGGGGGATGCACGGGGAGGAGGCCGGCGGCCGCAGGGAGCTGCCGGGCGCCGCAGTGTTACCAATCACGGCACGGGAGCGCGGCTATCGATTGCGGTGCAAACACCGCCGTGCTGGAGCGAGACATCCCCTCCGGAGCTGCCTCCCGTGCCGCTGCTTCCTGCTGCTATCCCAAAGCCTGCCCGCCCTCCCCAGGGCGGTGGGGCTGCTCCTGCCTTAGCGCAAAGCTCACCTCGAGCATCCCGTGGGGCGGGCGATGCTGCCTGCCGGGAGCGTTTGAGTCCCCGCTGCTCCCCCACACCCCCGGGATGCTTTCAGGGTCCTATGGGAGCAGTTCTGTCTCCCCAGGCTGCGACATCCACCTTGGCCCACTCCTCCTGGGCTCACCATTGTGGCAGCACCGTGGGGATCCCCCGAGCTCCTCACTGGGCTCCCAAGGGCTTCCTCCACCCGATGCCATTTCCATTCCCTGGCTTTCCCAGCTGGCTGATGGGGGAAGGCTTTATCCTGTGTGGAGGCTCTCCAGGATTACAGGTCTAGAGCCAGAGATGGGGAGCACGTTGGTGTCGGTGCCAGTGATACCCAGAGCTGGTGGCGAGAGCTTTGGAAGGTCGGGGTGCCCCGCTGGCACGGGGTGCCTGTCACTGTGGGTTGGGGCCGGGAGCAGGGCTCTGTGTGTCCCACAGCTGACGGTGGGCACTCTCTTTTTCTTTTGTCGGTGCCGGCTGGGCCGTCTCGCTGCCGTGCCGCCAGGAGGTGGAGGTGAGCCTCGAGGGGCTGCCGAGGGGGTGACACCCGCTCCTGGGGGGAGGCTGCTCCCCGTCCCTGCTCCCCGTCCCTGCCCTGCGGGGGTGCCCTGGGGTGTGTGCCGGTGGCCCCGAGCCGGGGGATGGCACGCCTGGCCCGGTGTCACCTTCCCCGCCACCTGCACTCACTCAGGCTCTCCCCGATTCGCAGGACGACTACATCAAGAGCTGGGAGGACAACCAGCCCGGGGATGAAGGTACCGCTGGGATGGGTTTGGGATGGAGCACAGTAGGCTCCGTGCCAGCCAGTATGGCAGGAAGGGGGGAGTCGCACTCTCTCCTTGCACCCCCCGGGCTTTTCCCTTCCGCTCGGAGCGGTGCAGGGCTCGCTGCGAGCCGGGAAGCAGCAGCTGGTGCCGGGGCGGCCGCCCAGCTGCGGCTGAATGGCGCTTTGTGCCGGGCCGGCTGGCGGCCAGCGCTGCCGGGCTCCCCCGGGCCGTCCCCCCGCCCCAGCGCCTCTCTGTCCCCAGCCCTGGACACCACCAAGGACCCCTGCCAGAAGGTGAAGTGCAGCCGGCACAAGGTGTGCGTGGCGCAGGGCTACCAGCGCGCCATGTGCATCAGCCGCAAGAAGCTGGAACACAGGTAGGAGAGGGGCAGGAGCCGGGCAGGGGGAAAGGGAGCCCAGGCGGGCGCTCAACACCTCTCCCCCCGTGCAGGATCAAGCCGCTGGGCCCCAAGGCGCACGGCGGCTGCAAGCCCTGCCACGCCGCCCCCCTGGCCGCCGTCTGCGGCTCCGACGGCCACACCTACAGCTCGGCGGTAAGGACGGGGCACGGCCGCGGGGACGGGGCCCCGGGTCCCCCCCGTGTCTCCCCGCCGACGTGCCGCTGCCGCCCCGCAGTGCAAGCTGGAGCAGCAGGCGTGCCTGGCCAGCAAGCAGCTGACGGTGCGGTGCGAGGGGCAGTGCCCCTGCCCGACCCCGCACAGCCCCGCCGGCGACACCAAACAAGGTGAGTGGGGTGCAGGGCGCCGGGGGAGCGTCCCCGAGCTCGGCCCGGCCTGACGCTGCCCCGCTGGACCCCCCAGAACTGTGCACCGGGCAGGACCTGGCCGACCTGGGTGACCGCCTGCGCGACTGGTTCCAGCTGCTGCGGGAGAACGCCAAGCAGAACGGCTCCGCGGGGCTCCCCGCCAGCCCCACCTCCGGTACCTGTCCCTGCCACACGGGGAGGGCACGGGGGCTGCTGTCCCCGGGGGGACCGGGCAGCCACGGGCTCCATCCTGTCCCGCAGCGCTGGAGAGGAGCGTGGCAGCCGCCTGCAAGGAGGCGGTGGGTTGGATGTTCGCCCGGCTGGACACCAGCGGGGACCTGTTCCTGGAGGCGGCCGAGCTGGCCGCCATCAACCTGGACAAGTACGAGGTGTGCATCCGCGCCTTCTTCAACTCCTGCGACACCTCCAAGGACGGCCGCGTCTCCGCCCCCGAGTGGTGCTTCTGCTTCTGGAGGGAAAGTGCGTCAGGACAGGGGGACGTGGCGCCGAGGGGCCGGGGGACGGACAGCACGGGGTCAGGTCCATGGGGCTGGGGGATCTGTGTCCTGGGGGATGCATGCCATGGATTGGGGAACCCCTGCTGCGGGATTGGGGTTGTACCTCGTGGGGTTGTGGGGCTGGGGATGTACATCATGAGGGGATGTATGTGGTGGGGTAATGGGCAATCCTTGCTGTGGGTTTGGGGTGCCTCTGGGATGTTTGCCTTCGGGGGAGAGATACACCACAGGGTTTGGGGGGGCTGGAAACCATGCAGGGATGCATGCTGTGGGTCGTGGGGAAGCACATCTGGGGTGAAGGGGGATGCACAGCATGGGGCTGGGGAGATGCACACTGTGGAACTGGGGGATGTTATCCATGGGGGATACACAGTGTGGAGCTGGGGGATGTATTCCATGGGGGATACACAGTGTGGAGCTGGGGGATGTGCTCCATGGGGGATACACACTGTGGAGCTGGGGGATGTGCTCCATGGGCCAGGGTGGGTGCACGCCATGGGGATGCACACCATGGGTAATGCACACTGTGGGGTCTGGGGGATTGCAGTCCATGGGGGGATGTGGAGTTCTGGAGGATGCACACCACAGGGATGAATGCTGAGGGTTTGGGGGCGCACACTGTGTGGGGTGAGGGGGTGCCTGCCCTAAGAGCAGCATGTGGCCTCACTGCAGAGCCGCCCTGTCTCAGAGAGCTGGAGAAGATCCAGATCCAAGAAGCGACCAAAAAAAAGCTGGGTGAGTGGGGCAGCCCAGGGCCCTTTTCCCCAGCAGTGCCCGCGCAGCCGGGCCGGGATGAGGATGAGGATGGGGACCTGCCTGGGGGCTCTGGCACTGCACGTGTTTGGGGGGGTGGGGGGCCATGGCTTCCCTGCAGGCACCTTCATCCCCAGCTGCGATGAGGACGGCTACTACCGGCGGGCACAGTGCGAGCCGGGCGGCGGCGAGTGCTGGTGCGTGGACCAGCACGGGGCCGAGCTGACGGGAACCCGCGGGCACGGCAGCCCCGACTGCGGTGAGAGTGCGGGCAGAGCCCGCCGGGGGACGGGGCTGCAGCGCGGGGCTGCCCCTGAGCCTCTGCCCCTCGCCCCTCCAGATGAAGCAACGGGGTTTTCGGGCGACTTCGGGAGCAGCGTGGGCTGGGAGGACGAGGAGGAGAAGGAGCCGGAGGAGGCGGGCGAGGAAGGCGAGGAAGAGGAGGGCGAAGCAGGCGAGGGCGACGACGGCGGCTACATCTGGTAGAGGAGCAGGAGAGCCCGGTGGGCGGCACGGCCGGGAGGCAGCCCCCCAGCTGGGGGTCCCCGTGACCCCCCCCGCTGCCGGTGTGGCATGGGGTGGGTGCTCCCCGCTCCGGTCCCGTGTGGGACGGGGACACGGGGCGCTCCTCGCGGGGCGGGGGGGGGGCCGCTCTTATGCGAATTTGAGCTTTTTTTTTTTTTTTTTTTTTTTTTGGGTAGAGCCTTGTAGGCCTAGTGTGCTGCTGCGTGGTCTTCAACCGGGCAAATGGCGCTAATAAAAGTGGGAAAAAAAAGGAAAAAACAAAAAAAAACCCAACAAACCCCCTTATAGATAAGCTGCCCCCCCCCTTCCTCCCCGCATCCCCCCTCATGTTGTGCTTGCGTGGCTGCCCCGGCCCCCGGCGTTGTGTAGCGGCTGTGAAATAAATACCCCGTGCTGTGTCAAACACTGGCCCGCCCGTTCCTGCCCCGGCACCCCCCGTGCCTGCCCTGTGCCCTGTGCCCTGTCCTGGGGAGGGGGTGCTGTGGGTCTGTGCCCCCCCGCGAACGGCGTGGGGAGCAGGTTGGGGTGGGGGTGCCCCCCGTCAGTGCCCGGGTTTGGCTCCTGCACTCTGCTGCCATGAAGCTGGAACGGGCCTCCCTCCCCAGGGCCATGGCCCCTCCCCGGCTCCTGACCCTCTCCATGACCCCAAACCTTCCCTTTCCACGGGCTCCAGAGCCATGGAATGGCTCAGAACTGCCCTTCCTCCCTATGCTTTACCCCAATCCCAAACAAGACCCCAACCCAATCCTACCTCTGACCCAGAACATCCCTTACAGGACCAACCTGCCCTCAGAGCCCACCCCATGCCCTGGTGAGGGCCTCCACCACCCCCAGCAGCCACTCAGCACACGGGACACCAGGGCCTCAACTCACAGCATTTATGGCCCCAGGGAGAAAATAAAACAATCATACAGACCCCAAACCTCCCCATTTGGGGCTGTCCAAGGCACTGTGCCATATCCCCTGCCCGGGGGTGCCCATGCCCCACCGGCTCTGTGCAGTGCAGGCGCCTGGGCCCCGCAGCACCGGGGCTGAAGAGGGGATGTCCCACCCCTGGCACCTCGGTCCCTGCCACAAGTCCCCCGGGAGGGGGTTCAGAGCTTGCTGGGGGGTCCTGGCCGCTGCTGGAGCTGCCAAGTCGCTCTCACCCCCTCAGCCGCCCGGTTGAGGTCCGCGAAGGCGGCGGGGTCGCCGGTGCGGCGGTAGCGCGCCACGAGCGGCTGCAGGACGCTGATGGGGATGCAGAAGTTGAGGTGGGGGTAGGTGGCCCCCACACCGGTGTCCCGCGTGTTGCTGGCCACGATACCTGGCGGGGAGGGAGCGACACCACGTCAGGGGGCCCGGCCGGAGGACACCCGTGGGACACGCACGGGGACAGCCCTGGCTCACCCATGAGGCACCCGCTGCGGGAGGAGACGAGGGGGCCGCCGCTGGAGCCGCCGTGCACGGCGCAGGTGGTTTGCAGCATGACGGGGCGCCCGGCCACCGCCAGCACGGCCGAGAGGATCCCCGCTGTCACCGAGGGGCCGCACGCCCGCCCCAGCGCCCCGAAACCCACCACGCTCACCTCTTCTCCTGGCACGGGAGAGGCAGCAGGTGGGGACAAGGGGGCGAGGCAGCCCCCATCCAACACCCCGTGTCCCACCGGCGCGTACCTGGGAGGAAGGTGCTGGCCAGGCACGGCGGGACAAAGCCTGGCACGCTCTCCTCCAGCTCCACCACGGCCACGTCGAAGGGGGACGACTCCTCGGTGGCGAACACCACACGGCCCCAGAGCACGGCGGCGGCATCCCTAAGGACACAGTTAAGGAGATGTCAGGGCGGGGGACACGCAGGGTAGGGGGGTTGAGGTTTGGGGGGCACAGCCGCACTCACTGGCCGGGGCCGGCTGCCGGTGTCACACGGAGCGGGGCTCTGGCCTCCACGACGTGCCGGCAGGTGAGGAGCATCCTCGGTGCCAGCAGCACCCCGGAGCCCCAGGTGGCCCCGCACTCCACCAGCGCCGTCCAGCCCAGCGGGTCCCGCCCGCCGCTCGCTGGCACCGCGGCCACCCAGGCCGGTACCGGCGGCACCGCGATCCCGGCCTCGCCCAGGACAGCGGCGCTGCTGCGCAGGATGGCGGCGAGGGAGCAGAGCAGCGTGAGCCCGACCCACTCGGCGCCCTTCCAGCACAGCGAGGCGGCGATCACGGCCACGGCGCGCGGCCCGGCGGGCGAGGGCACGAAGGCGGCGCCGCCCTCGGTGCCGGGCAGGCAGCGGGCATCGGTGAGAACCAGCGCGTTCTCCTCGCCCGCCAGGTTGCTGACCACCCCCCGGCTCAGCGTGTTGAGGAAGAGCTCGGGGCACAGGTCTCCGAAGGGGGACCCGCAGGCCAGCAGCGCCTGCCCCTTGCGCAGGCAGCCGGCGCTGGCCCGCGCCGCCCAGCCGCCCTCGGCCGCGTCCAGCCCGGGCACCCGCAGCCAGGCGAACCAGGGCAGCGCCCGCGGGTCCGTGCCCGCCGCCTCCTCCTCGGCGCCGAACCGCCAGCGCTCCGCCCGCCCGAGCCCGCGCTCCAGCGCCCGCCGGAACGGCGCGCACGGCACCAGCGCCAGCAGCCGCGCCCCGAGCTCCCGCAGCCCGCCGGCCTCGCCGCGCAGCACCACGCTGAGCCGCGGGCACGGCCGCAGCGCGGAGGGCGGCAGCGCGGCGGGCCGCGCCCAGGCGGCGGGGCCGGCGCGCAGGAACGGGGCGAAGACGGCGGCGTGGCAGAGCACCAGCCCGGGGCGGCGGCTCAGCACCAGCCCGCTGCCGCCGCCATCACCATCGCCGCCGCCCGCGCCCCGCACCCGCACCGCGCAGCACGGCGGCGCCGCCGCCATCACCGCCACGGCCGCGCCCCGCCCCCGGGCCCGCCCCGCTCGCCCATTGGCTGCGGCCCCGCGCCGCGCCCTCCCCATTGGCCGGGGCGGGGCGCGCACGTGGCGGACACGCCCCCGCGGGGCCCTCACGGGGGTGCCGGGCCTGGCCCGGCCCCGCTTCCCGGGACCCCCGGGGCAGGGCCAACCCCGGCTCCGCTTCCCGGACATCAGGGATGCCTGCCTCGGAGCCCCCCTCGGCCCTGCGAGAACGGGCATCACCGGCCCGCAGCCGCCCCTCGGCCCCCAGGCCCCAGCGCTGCCCCTCGGGACACCGGCACCGGCCCCCTTCCCAGGGACCCTCGGCCCGGACACCCCACGGCCCCGCTCGCTTCCCACCTCACCCGCAGCACGAACGAGTACCAAACCTTTATTTCCAACAGAGGTAGCGGGACTGGGAAAATCCCTTTGGGAGAGCTAAAATCCCCCTAATAGTGGGAGTCAGAGCCGAAGCTCCCCTGCCCCAATTCCCCCCCAGCCCCTTCCTGGCTGTCTGGGCTCGGTGTGGGTTCCTCACGCCCTGCAAGCCATGAGCTCTCCCTGCTTGCCAGCCCAGAGGCAAGCGGCTCTTCCAGCCTGCCTCAGTTTCCCTCTCTGGCTGCACCATGCAGGTCACAGAACCATGGAATCATTGAATGAATATCGTGATTGGAAGCGACAAGGATTGAGCCCAGCTCCTGGCCCTGCACAGGACAGCCCCAAGAATCCCACCCTGTGCCTCAGAGCATTGTCCAAAGGCTTCTGGAACTCTGTGGCTGGTGTTCTGATGGCCCCAAGGCCCAGCAAACACCAAGCCAGACTGAGGCTCGTTGCCCCTTCAGAGGAGAAAGAAATGTCTTTATTGAACTGAAAATGAGTGCCAGACAGCAATGAAACTTCAGACAAAAAAAAAAAAGTCCGTTGAGAGTATAAAAGAAACCGGTTTAGTCTACATTAATCACCTCATGATATGCAAATGTCAAACACTTCCAATCTACAACCACCAAAACAGCTCCGTGGTTCGTACTGTGATGGCATGGCCAGAGGAGCCTCGATGGAGGGTCTGGCCTGAGGGGGAACCAGGCAGCCCCTTCCCACTGCACACCATCCCCAACACCTGCACCAGGTGCTCCTCCCCAACTGGAAAAAAAAATAAAATAAAAAACCCTGTAAACTAAAGAAGCTGGGATTGCACACCTCAGTCCCAACGGCAGCTCGCCGTCGTCGGTCAGCGTGACACAGCACAGCCACCCTACAGCTCAGTTAAGCCCAAATGCTATGTTTATTGAGGACTTCTAATATCGTGATACCTTGCTTCAGTAATTTGTGAAATACCTAAATACCGTTAAATATATTTTTAAAAAACCCTAAACCAGACTCTGGACTAAACAAGATGAACGTTAAACTAAAAAGTTAGAAGGGACGCCATTTACATTAACACTTTCTTTAAAAAATATAATTGCTTTTTTCCTTTTCTGCTTTTTTGTTTGTTTGTTTGTTTTTGAAGTCAATTAACCACAGTGGTGAGACGTGCTCTCTTTTTCAGCTGTTACACTGCAGCGTGCAGAGTTTTGCCTTCCCAGGCTGGAGCAGCCCCGCTGTCACCCCAGTGGCAGGGACAAGCCAGGGACGGCGCTGCCTCCCCGCCGCGCGGAAAAGAGCGGTGTCACCACTGTGCCATAGGGGCAGCTGGAAACCAGGAGTCTCTTGGACAACGCCAGGAAAGCCTTCCATGTTCTAATAGAAAAGTCCATAGGAAGCTGAAGTGAACAGGATCAGTCCAGAGGAGCGAGACTCTCGTGTCCGTGCCGGCGTCAGTCAATGTACTGCGATAGCCAGCGGAAGCCCTCGCCGTAGCCTTGCCTCTTGAGCACGCTGCACATGAACACCTCCATGGGGCGCGCGTTCAGCTCCTTCAGTGGCACGTTTCCCTGGGGAAATCCAAACAGGAGTCACATCTGCACCCCTGGTGCCCCTGGGGAAGCGCCCAGAGAGCCACAGCCACCCAGGGGAGCTCCTCTTGTAGGCCACTTTCATATATGTGCACTTCATTTTGGACAATCCCATCAGCCTCAGGGCAGCATCAGAGGTCTGGGTTGGCAGGGACTGTAAAAATCACCTCATTCCACCCCACTGCCTGTTCCCACTATCCCAGGTTGCTCCAAGCCCTGTCCAACCTGGCCTTGAACACTTCCAGAGATCCAGGGGCAGTCACAGCTTCTCTGGGCACACTGTGCCAAGGGCCTGACCACCCTCACAGGGAAGAATCTCTTCCCAATTTCCCATCTGAACCTGCCCTCTGGCAGTGGGAAGCCAGCCCCTCCTGTCCCACCACTCCACAGCTTTTAAACAGTCCCTCCCTCCTAGGCTCCCTTCAGGCACACCATCATTATTATCACTGATTCACCTCGACCAATTAATGGACAAATTCCCATCAATCCCAACTGGATCAGGGCTCAATGTGCAAGGAAGCAGGCAGGCTCTGCCCTGCTTGTGCCAAGGCAAGGTCCGGATGGCTCCTACCTTCCCTGTGGTCTGTCCGTAGAGCCCGAAGATCTCCCGCAGTTTCTCCTCGCTGATGGCCTCTGGTCTGTCGATTTTGTTTCCCAGGATAAGGATTGGCACATTGGATATTGTCTCGTCTGTCATCAACGCCTGCGTGCAAGAGCCAACAAGAGTTGAGCAGAGAGGTGGAAAAAGGAGTCATTGCCTGAAGGAAATGGTTTTGTTTGAGCTCTGGGACCAACAAGGGTTCGTTTCTGGGGCTTCCAGACTCTGTGGAAGAGCCACAGGATCACTGAGGCTGGAAAATCCCTGCCAGCCCATGGAGCCCAGAGCACTGAGTGTCACCTCCAGCCCTTCCTTGGACACCTCCAAAGCTCCCTGGGCATCCCCTGCCAAGGCCTGAGCACCCTTTCCATGCCATCAATTCCTGCTGCTGTCCAAGCTGAGCCTCCCCTGAACCCAAGTGGCCAACCCAGACCAAGGACATCCAGGCTCCTCCAGCCCTGGGAGAGATGGCTGTTCTCCATAATTTAGCTGATCAGAGGTGCTGGAGAAGGGAAAGAAGGGAAGTGTATTTACATTAAGCTCAACTTTGGATTCCATAAGCCGTGAGTGATCTGCACAGTCCACCAGGAAGACAATCCCATTGATGGCAGGCAGGTAGTTCTTCCACACCCGGCGAGCTGGAAAACACAAGGGACAAACACGGCCCTGTGAATCTCCACACACGGAAAAATCCACCAAACCTCAGCAACCATGGCTGCCTTTGTAGCCAGGCACTCTTCCTTCCAATAGTTTTGTGTATAAAAGGGCAAAAAACCTGTGTTTAAAACTTCTAGAAAGTGCAGGAATAAAAATCCAGCAATTATCCAAACTAAATTATATCTGAGTCCACCACAGCTAAAAATACTTCAGGCAGCAGGGCAAGAACTGGCACCATTTCCTTCCAAGCAATCCTACAGCCAGGAGGCTGCTTCCACGTGTTGTTCCATAAATAAATCCAGGCAACAAATAATTAGGCACTGCTAATTGCTGACACTCGTCAGGATCGATTTTTGGTCATTTTTTCCTTACCTTGTTCATGTCCACCCAGATCAAAAGTCGTGAAGGTCATTCCAGCAATCGTCAGCTCCTCTGATGCTGAAATGGAAAGCACAGGTGGGATTCAGGAAAACAAGGAAGTTGTGACAGACAGAATTTCTTGGGTATCACACACACTCCTCTAGCAAGGAATTCCCCAAACTTCCTGTGGAATTCAGGAGCACTTTTCCAAAATCACAAACAGCAGAAAATAATTTCTCCTGCTTCCCACTGAAGCTTGTAAACCTTCAATTATTATCCTTTATTAGGCTTTTCATTAAGGAAAATCTTCCCTTTCTGTTAACAGAGCCACACCAGTTGCTGGGCATTTCTAGAGAGGAAAACACAGATCCATTTCAGCTTGGGGAGCCACAGTGCACCTCGAGTTCTGGGACCCTCAAATCCCCCAGGCAGAGCTTCTTCCTCCCAGTGCCCCCACAATTCCAGAGGGAAAGCCATGCCAGGAGGCTTTTCCAGGGACACTTACTGGGATGTAGCGTGGGGACGTGCTGACCCAGCCTGTCATCTTTGAGCATGTGCAGCAGAGTGGTTTTCCCTGCATTATCCAAGCCCAGGAACACCAGCTTTCCAGACTTCTTGTACAAACCTGCCAGGAGAAGGAACAAAGCAAGAGGAAAACTCCAGCGGGCTCACCCGGAATGCCACGCTGCTTTTTTTTTGGGGAAGGCCTTTCCCAGAGCTCTGCTGCCACCTGTGCACGCTTCCAGGGGCAGCAGGGAACACACACACAGCTCAAACAGCCTTTTTCCAAGGCATGTTTACAGCAATGGACATTTTCTAAGCTCCTGTTCCATTCTTTCCTCCATCCTAGCAGCAGAGGACAGTGTGCAGCAGAGCATTATGGATCAATTTGTCTCCTCAAAAGATGTGAAAATTGAACAAACTCATAAAAGACAGCAGTGAGTTGTCCAGGAAAAAGTGCAAAGCAGGGAACACTGAGCTGTCTTCTTGGCATAAACTGATTTTTGTCGTGTCTGCCCCAGGAAAGCTCCCAAAGATTTCCAGCAGGGCTTTGTCTCACCCCATCCCTCTCATCCTCCCTTCAAGAGGGGATCAGGAGAACGGGCACCCCATCCTCCAGCAAGGAGTTCCACTGGAAGCCAGCACTCTGGAAGGAGGACGAGGAGGATGGGGCTCCCTCCCTGGCGAGGCAGCACCTCTGCCTGGGGCTGGACAGGCTTCCAAAGGGCAATAGAAACACTGAGTGGGAGCCCAACGCCCCCAAACACTCCCAAAGTTTCTCTGCACCAGTGTAAATGCCCTTTTATTGATACAGAGCTGCCTCAGCAGACTTTGCACTGCCCAGAGCTGCTGCTCACCCCCAATCCCCGGCTTTTATGGGATGCTGGCAGCGGGAGAAGCGAAACCCACCCAGAGGGGGCTGCCGAGGCATTACCTAGGAACTGCAAGACGCTGCTGAAGCCGTTGTAGAGCCATTCGAAGATGAAAGACATCTCTGGAAACAAAATGCCTGCGGGGGATAAACCCCAAAGCCCGAGTTACGAAGGGTCGGTGCCCAAAGGGAGCCGCGGGCAGGGGGTCCGGGGATATCCCGGGGAACGGGAGCGGTCGGGGGGAGCGGGGGCGAAGGGGAACGGGGGTGGAGGAGACAGGGGATGAGGGGTACCGGGCTGAGGGGCACCGGGATGAGGGGCACCGGAGTGACGAGCACCGGCCTCAAGGGCGGGCGGCGCGGCCTGGCCCCCGCCCCGCCCCCGCTCTGCCTGCGTGTCACCCCCCGCGCCGCCGCCGCCCCTCTCCCGGGCCCGCCAGGCGCCCGCCGCCCCGCTGAGCGCCCCGCCGGGCCCGGCCGGCCCGCACGGCCGCCGCCGCCGCTCACCCCCGGCTGCCCCCGGGCCGCCGCCGCCACCGAGTCCCGTCCGCGGCCGCCGCCAGCGCCCCGCCGGAAACGCGTCAGCGCGCGCCCCGCCCGCTTCCGGCCCCGCTGGCCCCGCGCGCCGGGGGCTGCGGCGGGCGGCACCGGGGGCCGCGGGTTCGAGACCCGGGTTCGAGACCGGCCCCGGGCGGCAGGGACGCGGTGTCCCGCTGCTCCGGGGAGCTCCCGGCTGGACACGAGCAGGGATTTATCCACGGAAAGGGTGATGAGACACTGAGTGGGCAGTGACCAGCCCCGGAGCTCTCGGTACCAAGGTGGGGAACCCGCCACAGGCTGGACTCCATCATCTCTGAGGTCTTCTCCAGCCTCAGTGGTTCTGTGATTTTGTGCCTCCTCAGCTCCAGGGAGGGAAAGGAGAGTGTGAAAAATGCGTATTTTATGATTGGCTTTTCGCAAATATTCAAATGAATATTATATGTGTTGTGTTAGAAAGTTATGCTGTATGAATTTTCTTAAGTAGCTTGTTAAATATAGTTTTAGGTTATAACATAATGTTAAAATAGAAACTATGCTATGTAAGATACTTTTTTTAAAGAAAGGACTCGCAGCGAGATAGCAGCCACAGGACACCTGAATCTTTCAGAGAAAGAGAATTTATTGCTCCATTATCGAGTTCTTCCTGCCTCACTCAGCCCTGACGAGTCAGTCAGGATTCAGAGGAAGAAGCTGACACTGCCCAGACAGAATCCTGGGTTTGAATGGAATTTATGCCTCATGGATGAGGTGTAGGAATATGCAACAGGCTGTTGCTTTTAAGGGTTAATCCTCTGTTAACGTGGGGCCTTTTTCGGGCTTATTTTGCCCAGAAAGAGGTACCTGGACTGTCTGTAACTCTTTGTTTCTATTGTCTCATATTGTCCTAATCCAAATTGTCCAAATTATTATTACTCTTAATTATATTACTAATTTTATAACCATTAAACTTGTAAAATTTTAAAAACAAGTGATTGGTGTTTTCCACAGAGAGGCAGCCCCACAGCACTGGATTTCAGTAGTTTTTTATTTCTAGCATCCATACACGCCCCAGGTGAGTGATCTCCTGTCACGACTCAGAGCACACCACACGACTGTGCACAAAGCAGGGTGTTTGGATTTCATAAATTATTTCTTCCAGCCTCCACTAGGCCTCAGCAGACACGTCACTGCTAGGTATGGAATTCTAATCAGCAAAGTTACAGGCAAGGTCTTCTTGCTGACACTGAAGCTATTTTTCTGTTCTATTCCTGCATGTGGCAGCTCCTCGGTGGGAAGGACACAGCTGTCTCACCACCATCCTCAGGACTTAGTTTTTCTGGTAGTAGAACCATTTGTCAACTGTGTGGGGCAGAAAAAAGGAGGAGGTTAGTCCCCTGTGAGCCACCCAGTTATTAAGCAGTTACGTGGCAGTGTGTGTGTGTGTGTGTGTGTCACCTCCAGCTCAGGGGCTTCCTCTGCTCCTGGCAACAGCTCCTCAGACAGCAAACAGGTTCTGGCACAACCCTGTTTGCATGGATTTGTTTTCCCAGAGCAGTCAGCCTTGCTCAGGCTGCCATTAGGAGCATCCATGACTTGGTGCAGGCAAGGACAGCAAGCCAGGCTTCCCACTGGCTAAGCTGATTCAGGGGGGCAAAGCCTCCAACTCCCATGCCCACATGGGAGATACACATTTTTAATAAAATAATAAACCTCCACAGGTTTATTCCCCATGAAGGGATTGCAAGAGTCAGCCCAGCTCTTCTTTCTGCTCCCAACTTGCCCTCAGCTTGCCCTTGGGCCCTGCCCTGGCTGCAGCACCATGCAGGTTTAGTTGAGCCCCTCATTTTCCTGGCTGCAGCACCCTGCAGGTTTAGTTCAGCCCCTCATTTTCCCAAGGACAGTTCCCCTGAGGAAGCCCCTGCTGGGTGCTGGGGTGTCAGGGGGGTTTTGGGCTCACCTTCGGGTGGGATGGGGCTGGCAGCTTTACACGGCGGCGCCTGAAACAAGAAGGGTGTTATCAGAGACCAGAGGTGTCCTTCACTCTCCTCACAGCATTTAGGGCTGCACAAATCTTTCCTGAGCACCATTTGAGCCCCTGTGGCAGCTGTGGGGGAACAACTGAGCCCCCGTGCAGTGTCCTGTCATTCCTGGAGCGTCCCCATTCCGGGGATGCCCGAGGGGCTCTGCTCCAGGGGCAGCCTCCAGGGCCACTCCCAGCACAAGCAGTTCCCACTCCAGACCCTACACAGGTGCAGGCAGCTGCTTTTTTAAAAAATATGGGGGAATAGAGGCATGAGGGGTTCTTTGAGAACTCCTCTGAAGAGCTTTCCCTGGTATTCAGCAACCAAAACCAGAAAGTCTGGTGACACATCCTCCACGAGGGCTTTCGAAAATCTCACTGAGAACCCTAATTGGGATCCCAGCACTTTAGAAAAAAACACAATGGTTTTAAAGATCTCTCCAAGGCTACAGAGAGACTCAGGTTTCCAGTTATGGAAGGGATCCAAGATTTGCACTTTGATTTTCCTGTCCCCTCCCTCTAAGCCCTTTCAGGTTGCCAACAGCAGTACTCTCCAAGTCTAGGGAGACACAATTAAATCCAGAGGCTGGACAGGAGAACTACACCAGGAATGTCAAGCTCTTCATTCTGAAGCTGAAAAATCCCTGGGGAATTAGACTCTCTTTTCTCAGAGGGAGACCTGGACTGTGAAGCTCTTGGAAGCCCAAACACGAAAACCCTCTCAGAACAGCTGACAGCCAAGCTACAGCTCAGAAATTTAGCCCTCCATGCAAACTCCATTTGGGATTCCATCTCTTGGGTGACTAAGGGCAGGGAGAAGCCTCTGGGGGAATGTGTGCTTTGCTCCACATCCATCCTGTTTAACCAGAAGGTGGTGTTCAGCCACCCAAAACACTCTGAGCATGCCATGTGCCATCCACACAGAGAGGACAGTTCCCCACACAAATTGCACCATTTTCCCTGATAATAACACCAGGATCTGGCCACTCAAACTGGTACTTACTGCATCCACAGTAGCTTTTGCACAGTCTTGACTACAGCAGAAGGGGCTCTCAGACACTGTCAGGTTGGTGCTGGAAGACATTGGGCACTTGTGAGAAGGTGCAAGCCCAGCCTCCCCCCAGGAGCATTAAATAATGGAATATTAAAGCTCTCAGCTGCCAGGTGGAGGGGGGAGGCAGCCAGCAGCTAACAGAAAGCATGGCACCCCTCAGGAAGGGATGTCCCAGGGTTTTTAATTTAGGGAAAGGAAGGGGCACATTCCCACAAGCATGAACCTACCAGTTGATCTCCCCTCCATCAGTTTTCTTTGTTATTAAAGCTTTCCAGTGTTCGTGGGTGCCTTTGATGACATCCAGGGCAAAATCCTGAAGTTGGAGATGAGAACAAACATCATGTCATGTGGAAGCACCAGACCACCTTCTCCAGACCCTCACTCACAAGGAGCTGATTTTAGGCAGCTCTGGCAGGGGCTGGAAGAAACCTCTTCCTCTCCAGTGCTGTTCAGGAAGAGCAGAAACTCCCAGCACACAACAGCTGAAACAACCAGGATTGTGCAGCAGAATTGTTTTGCTTTCAAGATGGGAGGATCTGCCAAGGTCAAGAGCGAGCTTGGGGCCAAAAGAAACTGAACAGAGTCTCGGGCCAGTGCTCCATTCTAGAAGCTCCTCCACCCTGCTGCTCCGCTCCTCCCACTCGGTTTGTCTCCAGCAGCTGCTGATCCAGGCCTGTCCAGGAGCTCCCTCCACTCCAGGCAAACAATTCAGAGCAGCAGGAAGAGACATGCAGCTGAGCTGGCTTTGCAACTCCTTAAAACTCAATTTGTTTCCAGGCAGATCAACCTCTTCCCTTAAAAAGGAGCAATATATGCTCAAGCATTAACCTGTCAGCTGGAGAAGGAAACACACACAGTTCACTGTTGGTGTGAACAATGGCACTAAATGTCCTGGTTTGATACCACACTGAGCCAAATAAAACACTGCAGAGCATGTCTGAGGTTCTTTATCCTGATTTTCCAGTTTTCTTGATGGGTTTCACCCATCCTGAGGGGCAGCAAGGTGTTCCAGCCTGACCAGCCTAGTGCTGTGCTACAGCCAGGGGACAAGTCCTTCATCACTTCCATTTCCTTTCCCAGAGAGGGCTTTGGCAAGAATTCCCCTCCTCTGTACCACCTCTGGAGCCCTGGGAATTGAGTCACCTCACTAAACCCCTCATGGCACTCCAGGAAGGGCAGGAGTGAGGACACCAAAACAGGATTTCACCTGCTCAGGAGCAGTAACTTATCTGATCCAACCCAGGGAAGAGGCAGAGCCCTGCCAAGGCTGAGCCTTACTCACAGGGTGTGAGGGAACACTTCATGCCTGAAGGAAGAAGTGCTTTAACTCCTCAGTTAAGTTTAACTTGCACCAGTGGAACAAAGCCAACGGGTAAGGAAGGCAAAAGGTGATGCCAAGCTGCCTTTGCTCCAGAGCTGGAGCAAATAAACCTGGTGTTTTCCACCTGGTTCTGACACCAAGGCTCCCAGCCCTGAAGTGATCCCACATGAAAAAAATATTCAACAACACCACGGTGATAACCCCAGGCATTTTTTTCTGGTATTCCTGCACTCACTAGGCTGGAAAAAACCAGCAGGATGAACTGAAATCAACGCTCAGGACCCCCATAAAAATCCATTCTCTCAGCAGCTCACTCGTGTCCCCACCCAGCCTGAGCTCAGGTTTGGGACTCTGAGCACAGGAAGGTGATCCTACCTTGCCTTTAAATTCCCCATTAAAGGCAAACTGGTTTTCTGGCTTTCCATCAGGTACTTTGTATCTTCTGAACCAGTCCACAGTAGCTTCTAAGTATCCAGGCTTCATCCTTCTGACATCCTCGATGTCTGGCAGGGGACACGGGGTTTGTTAGCCAGAAACAGTAACAGAATGCAGTGAATTGCAGACTTTAAGTGGCTCTGCTGAGCTGTTCTGGGCTGTGCCTCTTTCAGCCCCTCCCCAGGCAGTCTTAGCAACATTTCAGACAGGCT